ACCATCATTAGGATTATCTTGATTGTTGTCTTGTACTTCTTCATCAGGTTCTTGACGGTTCTCCATAAATTCTTATATAATTATTATTCTTATAGATAAGTCACTTCTTCGACTGGGCTAAAATTGGATAGTTAAATTGACGAATTAAATTTAATTTAACGAAAGATGACGCCTAAAATGCTTGACAAATATTATTTCTTAGTAGTCTCAAAAAATATTATAGTATTTTTATCACAGATACTTGGAAGTATCGTTTCAGATATAAAATCGGCTGTTTCATTTTTTGAACTTTCCTATTCGGAGTTATAGGGTTCTGAACCTTTACGTATTTCTCTCCTGAGAAATGGTCAAAAATAGAGTAGATCACGTGCCTTTAATATCCTTCAAAAATCATATTTATAGAAGTTCTGTTTTTATATAATAATAATAAAAAAAAGCTTAATGTAAACAACAGATTGTGTTAAGCATAGCAGAGTCACATGTTCTGACAAACAAACAAAAAAACTATCTAGGGCTATGGTTCCAGGCATTTATCTCAGTTTCGATTTTTTCAATGAAGATTAACTATTTTTAAGAGAACTTAAAGTTCATTTTAATTTAGATTGGGTGCGAATATTTCTAAATATCCTTGACTTTTTTTGGACCGTTTATTTCATTTTGTGTAGATCTATTTTAATCAACTATTAAAATTTTTATATTGGCTTACTGCTATTTTCATTTATTAACTAACTAAAAATAACTACAATGAAGATCGAGTTCGATCTTTGGAAGTCAGATAAATATTTACCTTATTATCTTATTATTTCGGAATATGATTAGTTTTTAATTCATCTAGAAAAAAACACAAGCTATTATCAAATGTCTACATATTTTTCTTTAATGTCAACAAGACTTCTTTGTCGAGCATAACGCTACTCTCAAGCGCCATCAAATCAAATACGCAATTAATGCTTTTTGCTAGTAGTTTACATTTCTCATAATAACATATAAATAGATAGCATTAAATTCTTTTATGTGATACAAAGAAAAAGTTTATTAGGATCATATGTACCACCTATATCATATGGTAATTGATGAGAAAATAAACAAAAATTGTATTATTGATGGAGTTAATCAACATATACAGAAACATAAAACTGTTGGTCAAAGATCTAGCAATCAGATGAATTCATTACAAATGCATCATAATAATATGTAATAGAGTTTTAGATTTTTTATTAAATTTAAAAAAAAAAGATAGAATCTTGAATAGCTGTGCATATTTATATATTTATTAAAATAAAATCTATATGTTTTATTTTATATAAAATGACCATGTTAGAACATATGTAAAAAAAATGGTATTGATTTATTAGTTTCAATGTTTATCAGAATACATTGCTGGTGTATGAATTCCAGTTTCGACAAAGCCTTTTCGTTGAAGATCCTCAATAAGTCTTTGTGCTTCAGCTGGTGAATCAACATAATGATGTTCTATTTTTAATTTATTTGTATCACGTACTAAATTAATTGATCTATCACTTTGTTTTATTCTTGATTTTGCTATAGTTATTGTTCTATGAGTGTTTTGTCGTTTACCCGATTTTTCAGGTACTATTTGAACATCAACCGACATAGGTGGATAAGCATAAGGGTAACGATATGCTTTAGGTACTGATGATGTTTGATGAGTTATCTTTGGTTTTTCTATGTGCTTTGGTTTAGAATTCAATCCAGATTGTTGTTCATGATAACGAAGTGTACTTGAATCTTTCCATGGACTATGTTTCTCTATATTTAGATGATGTTGACTTTTACTTTTACTTCTACTTCGTTGATAATATTGTTCTGCAACACCTCCACTTTCCCATTTTAAACAAAACATTGATTTTTGTGAATTTGTTAAATATTTTTTTGTTATATTATTATCGTTTACTGGTTGATACTCATGAGATTTTCTTTGTTTAGATGGTACCTCAATTGTATAGGTTTGTCCCTAAATAAATTAATTTTGATTATGATAAATTAAATTAACTAATAATCATACCTGTCGTAAAAATGTCATATTGAAGTTATGCTTCGTCTTTCTTTTCTTTTTTTTTTTTTGTACAAAATTTATAAAATGTCTTTGTTTAAAAATCAACACAAACAACAAAAAAAAAAAATTCTTTAATGGAATTTATTCAATATAGAAAATGTAAATTTTATGTTCGATAATTTTCTAGAATATACTTTAAAGTATTTATTTACGAAATAAAAAAACACTAACAATAAGTAAAGAAAAAATAAGAATAAATATTGTTATGGAATTATTTCTTATTGTATTATTACATAAATTATTTGAACAAAAACAATAAACTTTATGTTTTGTTTTTGTTGAACGTATTGTATGACAACCATCACTTGTATCAATATTTCGTATATTTTTTAAATAATCAAGTTCACCTTGTGATACACATTTACGTATTGTTACAGAACGTTCATCATCTTCAATTTGTTTTTTTGTACGTGCTTCTGTTTTTTCATATGCTTTAAGACATTTACCTGGACCATTTTCACTTTGACATTCTTCTTGAGTATATTTACTTAAATCAAATTTTTTCATACATGCTGCTTCTTTCATTTCTTGAGGTTTATCATGATGTGTACATTTAAAACATGAAAATGGACTTCGATATGAAGTTTTTCGTTCACCATTTAATGGTAAAATCAATATAAAGGTCATCATATATAGTAACATGAACCAATATCGAAAGAACATTTTTTACTTATGTACGTTTGTTCTATTTACTTTCATTCTTTTGTCTATGATTATTTACATTGTTCAATGACTAATCTCTTCTCCAACTTCTTCGTATTCTTATACAATAGACGTGAATAAACATTCAAAAGAGAGAGAGAGAGAGAAAGGAAAAAACTGTATGTTTTATTTAAATTGTTTTATCTACTGTTACTATAGTGCAGACAAAAAAAAAACCGAGATCGCGAAATGATTGACTGAGATTAGCCTTGTATTGTATTCGGAGAAAATATTTCGTTCAATTGTTGACTAAAAAAACAATAGAAAATAAGTTCAAGAATACAAAAAAAAAATGACAAAATTAAATACCTGACACGAATAAATGTTGTTCGTCGACTTAGTTCTTTTAATTTACCAGCACCCACATAAGTACAACAACTACGAACACCACCTATCAATTAAAGAAAAAAAATTCTATTTGTATAGAATTGACATACATTCTTACCTAATATATCTTGTGCAGTACCAATAACAGAACCACGATAAGGTACTTCAACTGTTTTACCTTCCGATGCTCGATATTCTGCAACACCACCTGACTATTTATCAAGAGAATAACTTGAATAAATCAATTAATTAATTAATTTCTTACATGTTTATCCATAGCAGTTTTTGATGACATTCCATAAAAAAGTTTATATTTACGTCCATTACGTTCAATTATTTCACCAGTACCACTTTCATCATGTCCAGCTAACATACCACCAAGCATAACAAAGTCAGCACCTAATCAAAGCACATTTTTTTAAATTCGAACTCAATGTATAAGATATATCTCAATGAAATATAAAAAAAAAGAAATCTCAAAAGGATTAGCCTCGGCTATAGTATATACCAATAAACCGAATGACAATAATTCAATTTTGTATTTTTTGATCAATATTATTCATTTGTACTTACCAGCCCCAAATGCTTTAGCAACATCACCGGGACTTGTACAACCACCGTCCTATATAATTCAATAAATTTAATATTTCATTATTCTAGAATAAAAACTTACGCTAACAATATGTCCGCCAAGACCATGAGCAGCATCAGCACATTCAAGAATACATGATAATTGTGGATAACCAACACCCGTTTTCAAACGAGTTGTACATACACTACCTATACAAATATAGAATATCTTAAAAATTCATTCGAAAAAAAAAATAATATATTCAAGCTAATATTTTTTTGAAAGGAAAAACTAGCATTTCGAACATTTTGTATATTTTAAATGTATAACAAAATCAAAAAAAAAAAAGAATTTTACTAAACCTGGTCCGATTCCACATTTAACAATATCGGCACCACTTAGAATAAGTTCTTCAACCATTTCACCAGTAACAACATTTCCTGCCTAATTGAACAAAAAGAAAAATAATGTTCAAAATAATTTTAAAATAAAAACTCGTTATACAAATATTGTTTTAGTAGGAAATTCTTTTCGAACAAGTCGAACAAATTCAACAAAATGTTCTGAATAACCATTTGCTACATCAACACATATATAATCAAGTTCTGGTATAGCATTTATAATATCACTGAAAACAAAACAAAACAAAAGATAATTTATTATTTATAACTATGAAATTTACCGTAATTTTTTAAAATCATTTTCTGTCATACCAGTTGAAATTGCTACATTCTAAAAGATTTAATATACAAAACAAAAAAAAAATATATATTTTTTGGTAGGGGAGAGGGGAAATTTTTACTTGAAGTATTCCATTGTTTTCCGTAGCAAATACTTTCCATTCATCAACTGTATAATGTTTATGAACTGTTGTAAATAATTTTAACTAAAAAATAAAAGATTTAATTTTGTTTTTGTTGTCAATGAACTAACTTTTGATAATTGTATTGCCATTTCAAATGTTCCAACTGTATCCATATTTGATGCAATAATTGGTATACCATCATAAATTTTTTTACTATGACGAAATATAAATTCACGTGTTAAATCAACATCAGCACGACTTTTTAATGTTGAACGTTTTGGTCGTATTAAAACATCTTTAAAATCAAGTTTAATATCATTATCAATACGAGGCATTTTTTTTATCTTTGAGATTCACTTATATTTATCTATAATGTTGAGAATTGTTTAAACAAACAAACATAACAGTTATACTATCAGTTTTTAGATTTTTTTTTGAAAATTTAAAAACAAAAATTCTTAGAACGAATTTTTACATACGAAAAACAAAAAAAAAAAACAGGTTTGTATGTAAAATTTTTATTTTTTCAAAACAAATGGCATAGGTGGCCATATAGATCTAACTTGTGCATGTAATGATTCCGGTAGCCAATTGCAATAAACATCAAGTAGATCTATAAAAGAAAGTAAATTCAATTAATCATTGAATTAATTTTCTTACATTTTGGTTCTGTTGACCAAATATCTTTTAATTGTTTTCGATTATCAATTTCTTTTTCTACTAATGCATTAAGAAATAATTGTGTTCGTTCCATAAGTGATGCCCATGATTTAACCATTGCATTTGATGAACATAATAAAGCTGGATGATATTGTAATAGACGTTGACAAATAATACCATCAAGAAAATATTTTCCAAACCAACGATAACGATCAATTGTATTTATTGGAAATATTGTTTCAATAGGTGAACCAAGTGACCATGATACTCGTTGACCTATAGTTGCTTTACGATGACAAAGCATTTTATCTTGATTTTCATCATAACGTGGTGATGGTTCATCTTCAATAGGACCAAATGAACATAAATGTGGATTTAATTGAACTATCCAATCCATTTGAATAGCACAAATATCTAAATACATATACAAATTTATTGATTCGCAATTTAACTTCACAAGATTAAAACATATGTGTATCTCATATGAGTCTTGATAGGATTTTAGGAAAACTGATTTTTAAGAGAAAGTTTTTCGAACTCGAAAATTTCACTATTGATGCAGTTCCTGCTGTAAAGTCTGTTTTGAGGTCTTCGAAGATTTTGTCATATGATTAGAAAGATATTTGCTAATTAGTCAACACTTTCACATATGTCGATGCTAAAAGAATTTATGCAGAAAAAAATAGCCTTTGTAAAGAATTGAAGTTAAATGAAAGGTAGGTATGTCCTACTTCGACTGATTCTTTTTTTTAATGCAACTCATATACTGTTTTTTCAAAGGGAAAATATAGTAATGGAAACAAGAGCTAGAGGCATCAGACTCGTTTGCCAGAGTTCCTTGGTAACCTAAAAAGATGCTAAAATGAATTGATAAGTAGACTCAGACTGTAAGTACTACAAACTCATTTACTAGTTAAATCAATGATTAGAATAATATTAATGTTGAATTAAGAAAATGAACTACAAAACAAACAAAAACTAGAACGTTAGGTAGGGTTTTCTTAGCGATTGATTATCCTTGGAAAACATTCTATAGTCTGTTAGAAAATTTTTACTTGACAAGATATTTTGTATTAGTATAATGAGGTTAAAGAAAACATATGAGTTTGATATTTTAACCTTATACAATCTGTGCTAACAATTTTTTTGTTTCTAGGAAAAAAAAAATAATACCTTTAATAAATATTCGATTTGTTTCATGTACTTCTTGATAACAAACAAATGATGGTAAATCATTAATAAGGACTGATGATGGATGAATAAATACCGGTTCATCGAGTAGAAGAGTCTAAATATAAAGTATTCATTTTATTTATATTGTACATATGTTTTTTTTTTGTATCTAAACAACCTGATAAGCATTATTTGCTTTATGACCATTAATCACAACAGAGCCTTCTATTCGTCTATTAAAAAACAAACGGTCAAAATTGAATCAAATAAAAATAAAATATATGAATTTACTTGGCCAAACGATCGACCATACCAGCTGCAAGTACTTTTCGTAATAGACATATTTGTTGTTCACTAGGTGGTAAAAGACGAGCATCAAGTATTGATGCTGTTTCTGGTAATATTGATTTCACTAAAACAAAGCATCTTTCGTCTTATTATTGTTTCCTTATTTTCCTCTTTCTTTCTTTCTTGAGGAAAAGTATTATGCTTATCAAGTCCGATATTTTCTGCCAATGGAATACTCATATATATCATAAATAGAGTTGTTTTTTGTTTTTTCTGGAATAAGAGAGTAATAGAGTGCAAAAAAACAATAGGAAAAAGAACAGAATTTTTCCCTATACAAACTTCAGAGTTCTTCTGTGGTGATTGAATAATTACAAGAAAATAAAGAAAAACGATAATAATATTTTCTGAGCTATTAAATTTTTTCTTTAATTTTTATAAGCATCATTATCAGTTGTTCTAACGTTTTATATAAGAATAATAATGAAATCAAGAATATAGCAGTACGACGAGGAATAAAGCTGATGAATACATGAAGAATCGACGCTCTTAACTAATATATCAGCAATATAGTGATGTAACCAGAAGAAAGCTTTAGAGTTAAGCTCGGCCCTTTTTTTCTAACGAAATTCAATTATTAGTAAAAGGCTCGAAGTCTTCTAGGAGACTTAAATCCTTTCTAAGCACTGGTTTCTCTTGCCATAAAAAAGTCTGTGCGGCAAAGTTGAATACAAGAATATCTGTAAGATGAGAATATTCACATTATTTAGGATCTTTTAACATTATAATATAATCTAATTTGTTTACATGCATATATTTATATTTATATCAGCGATAGAGACAGAGAGAGCAGGAAATGCAATCATATGTATCGATAATAAGAAAAGAAAAGAGTGACATGCATGGAGAGTCATCATACATGAGTAGAATGATTACAAAGTTGATAACTCGAACGAGATAAAAATGAGAATGTTACATTTCATTACGATCCGTATAATGAAAACAAAAAAATCTAGCTTCGCTGGTAGTAGCAGAGCAACAACATTAATGCTCTGCCTATTTCTGAGGAGGGGACAGTTACCTTCTTCGCTACGTGTGCTGAATTAACCAGAATAGAATTAATCGTAGCCTAGCTAACACCAAAACTAGAACACTAGCAAATTTCTCATTCTGGAAAGCACGTATCCAGGGAATTACTGTCCCTTCCTTTCCCAAAAAAAAAAGGGACGATAGTTTTCTAGTGCCGCCACGAGTTGCTGTGCTTATTAATAATGCTACATTTCTAACCGGTATCTTCGCGAAACTTTAGAAAGATGTTTTACCGATTTGTATTAATTGTCGACGAATTTTACGAATTTCAGTCATAGCTTTTGGTCGTAAACCATAATGAGTACATATCGATAAATCATTTTTTGAATTTTGATGATCTAATGCACCAACTGCTTTAAGTAAAATCATCATATCACCAAGTAAAAGTGATTCACCCTACGAATTTTCAAGAAAAAAAAAAAAACAAACAGCTCTTATTTAGTCATCAAATAAAAACAAATACTTGTCCTATCCATTGTCGTCTTAAATCATCTAAATTAATATTTATCTCTTGATTATCCTATAAAAATATTCATTTTGAATATTTCATATGCTAAAAAAAAAGTCAAATTATTTTACTTTTTGAATTTTAACTTGTCCAGTCGTTAATACTTCATTAACACTAAGTGCTGCAACAAGTGCAATAACATATGGTAATAAATCTTGATTTTCTTGAGCAATAACAAGCATTTTAGAATATCTTGGATTAATTGGAAATGCTGACATTCGACGACCTAATTCAGTAATTTTTTTTGTTGGTGATTTATTATCTAATGCATTTAATTGAATAAGAATTTGTTCAGCAACATTAATTGCTTTTAAATCAGGTGATGTTGGAAATGGAAAATTAGCAAGACGATCAATATTTAATGTTTTAAGCTGTAAAACAAGATCTTCAACAGGTTTTCGAACAATTTCTGGTGGTGTATATTCCGAAAATAAATCATTATATACAGCTGATGAATAAAGTCGATAACCTAACAAAAACAGAAAACTATTCATAGAATATTGATTTAAAATAAAGAAAAGTTGTGATAAAATTTGTTTGGGTTTTTTATGAATATCGTGTCAAAGGTACAAATATCGAGTGCAGTGGCCATTATTCCTAAATGGGTATGCATGTGTATGAATTCTTCTAGGCTTATTCTAGTCTCAGTATGTCCTACTTAATGACTGGGATTTTGTCTGACATGCGATGTACTATCATGGGTGGTCTCCTTATTAGCTCTACACAAATGCATTAAGGAAGTCATTTAACAGGATATTGGTAACATACGGTCTCTGATTGTATACTAGCAATGCCTGTGATGATCTGTAGAAGAGGAGAAAGTACGAATTTCTACTCTATATATATAGGTGGACTGCAAACTTTTAAGATACTTTTAGTATTCTGGTGATTATATCGTCATTGAAGAATAGAGAAAATTTTTAGAAATTTACCATTAAATATAGAATTGAACGGATTATATTTTAAAATAAAAATATTAGTTGTAATAAGTTAATTTTATTAATTACTAACTAGAGAAATATTTTGGTATAAATTTTAAACTTCATATATTTTATTCGATAGAGTATTGAAAACTAAATACTACTATGTATTTTATAACTCTGTATAACAGAATTTCTTTAAAATACTAATTCATAGTCTATTTATGATTAAGAAAATTTAACTGTAACAAAAGAAATTTCCTAACTGTCTAATTGATTTTCCACAAAATCTAGCAAACTGTAGGTAATCAATCATGCTGTTTCCAAATGTCAATATGAAACCTATTATCTGGAAAATATGTTTTTCCTAGCGAGAATGTTTTTTTCATCAAAAACTCCTAGCTATCCGTTTTGTATTGATATTCGAAATCAGCATTGTCGATTATCTAAAACCTATCAGATTTGGTATAAAAAACTGATTAGAAAGTTATGGATCATCCATTATAAGCATAGACTTCAGAATTCATGTTTCACAAAAAAGAGATACATACAATGACCAGGAGCTGTTCGACCAGCACGACCTGTTCGTTGATTAGCTGATGCCTTTGATGTCCATTCAATACGAAATGTTGATACACCAGTTAATTTATCATAATATTTTGTTTTAACCTAAAGAAATAATTAAAGAACTTTTTTTTTTTATTTTTATTTTATATAAAACATACTTTGCCACAATCGACTATATATTTTACATTTGATATTGTAATAGATGTTTCAGCAACATTAGTTGCTACAACACATAAACGTGTACCAGGTGGTGGAGGTTCGAATACCTGAAGAAGTTTTTTTATTTTGTATATAAAAATATTTAAAAAAAACAAAAACATACACGAGCTTGTTTTTCTGATGAAAGTATGGCATAAAGTGGAAGAACATAAAGTGGTTCAATAGATATTTCTTTTACATTAATATCTTCATCATCAAGATCACTTGTTATTGAACATTCTTTATCTTTTTCTTCATCTTCCTCAATATCCGATTGTAAATGTTCAAGTTCTTCATCATCAATAATATCTAATGGAGATTTATTGTTATGTGTTTTCTTTTTAGATTTTTTTGATTTAAATTGTGGTTCATCTAAATATCAGAGACATATTTCAGAGAATAAATAACATAAGTTGTAATTCTAAACAATATTATGAATTACAAGATTTTTCATTATTTAAAATACTTTCAGAGTGAGTGAAAATAATGATAATGAAAAGCTCGGTCTTCATTGTCACACGTTTTGATATGTATGTATGAATGAAAGTGATTAATTACTGCGAAGGATAATAAAAAAAAAAAAGTTGACTTTGCTTACTATAGCATCATAGAAAAAAAAAATGCTTTCTATATAAATAAATTATAACCTTGCAGTTTAATAATGTATAATTACTTCTTAGTTTCTCATATGAATTATGTCTCAGATAGAAATAAAGCTCTTTTATCAATGACTTATTATTTATTAAGAAAAAATGTTTTTTTCTGACATCTTATAGTATCAATATGTGTATTATGAAAGAGTCTAAAATATATATAACATACGATGTGGAAGTAATGAGAAAAAATATCGACCTTTATTTCTTTTTATAAACATATGTGCTGGAAGAAAAATATTTTTCTTGTTCGAACACACAATCGCTTATGATTTATTTTTATCGTACATTTGTAAATAAAATAAAGTGAGAACAAATAATACAAAAAAAAAAACTTGCACAATAAATGTCCGATATTTATATAGATTCGTTAAAATGACCTTGTAAAACAATAATTATTTATAAAATGTTTTTATAGAGTTTATATCAAACAAAATGGAGAATTTATTGTGCAATTATTTCGTTCTTTTCTTATTTCAAATTATTTATAAATATATGAGAAATAGAAATGCGTAGAAGACTCTCTAGTCTTGATTATTAAATCGACTAGATCTGAAAAAAATATTCAATTACTCGACTTTTAATTAGTAGAGCTTTGATGTTGAGTCTTCTTTTTTTTCATAAAATATATTTGTTTCTTGAACTAAGATTAGGAAGCTCCACACTCATCACTCAAGACAAATATAACTTCATATATAGTCGATTCGAATACGAAAGGTTTCCTTTCAGCACGTATTTATATCCGGATGGGTATTTTGTTGTATTAATTTTATATTCTATATTTTCTGTCATGTTATAGAGGAAAGTTTCAACTTGCAGAGAATACTATCTAATTTCAAATGAACCCAAGATGAAAAAAAAATGTCATGATATACCGATGTATTCAATATAGAGTTTTGACTGTGCTCTTCTATTTAATACTTATACGTATTTAAAATTATATGCGACATTTCAGATTTAGAAGTCTATAATTTTTATATTTCTTTTGGATACAATAATTGCAAGAAAAATCATGTTCATTTAGTATGAGTATGAGAGAACTTAAAACTTTCTGAATGTATACAAATCAATTTGTTTCATTATTTTTAACCGATTTCTTTTTTGCATTCAAGATATAACGGAAGAAACTTTTAATACTATTTTAGTAATAGTTGAAGCTGATTCTCATCGAACATGCAAATAAATACAGAACATTTTGAGAATTATTTCGTCAATGGTAGAGAAACCAGCGGAAGAAACTTTTTCACCTTCTAAATCTCAATGACTGAAACGTAACTAACTGTACAAAGTACAGTAAACGACTTATTGCATTTCACTCGCTTAGTTTCCATAACAAAAAGGGTGTGGATGTGGGTGTGGTTATAGATGTTTCTTACTGAGACACACCCTCAATCAAAATACAGAACTGCATTACTCATTAGGGACAATACTGTCGAGAAACAAAAAAACAAACTTTTGGACGTTCCATCTGTAGTATTCGAAATAAATTTTACCATCATTTTCTATTTGTGTTTGCATAGGAAATTTCTTTTTCAATTGATGACATAATGTTTTAACTTCTTGTTGACCAGTAACAAAAATAAGAATACCACCAGATGGTAATTGTCGATGAATTTTACAAACTTTTTTATAAACTTCATTAAGATAATTTTTTGGTGTATGTTTATTAAAATGTATTGTAACTGGATATTGTCTTGCATCAATATTAATAATTTTTGGTTTTAATTTAAATAAATGTCTATTATTAATAAATTCTTCAATACGCATTGTAGCTGACATAATAACAAGACGAAGTGGATCATTTCGTCGACAACGTATTGGTACAATACGTGATAATAAACCAATTAAAACATCTGTTGCAACACTACGTTCATGAGCTTCATCAATCAATATACAACTATAATTTGTTAATAAAAAATCATTTTGAACTTCTTTTAATAAAACTCCATCGGTCATAAATTTAATACATGTTGTTTCTTTTTTATATGTACCTTCATAACGTATTTGATATGATACTTGACTAGAAAAATAGAAAAATAATTTATTTAAAACTAATAATAATAATAAAAACTAACTCATTTGTTAAATTTAATTCATGTGCAACACGTAATGCCATTGATATAGCAGCAACACGTCGTGGTTCAGTTATACCAATCATTTTACCATCAAGAGTATAACCAGCTTCATAAAGAAATTGAGGTAATTGAGTTGTTTTACCACTACCTTAATAGAATGAAGAAAAAAAAAAAATCAAAATTCTTCAATTTTCTTGTTTTGATTTTTAATAAATGATATGATGTTTTATTTGGCACCTCGTTTTTTTTTTTTGTTAAACATTCTCAGATAAAAATATGCAAATTTTATTTCTAAACTTTATTTGACACAGTTGCAAGCGCTCTTTAATTTTCTATATTCAATAGTGTTTATCACTACTTTCTTCATACTTTAAAACTGGTCCCTTTTCTTAGATCTAGATTATTTGAAATTCCAATGTGTTCAACACATATATCAAAGAACCAGTGATTATAAAAGTGAAATTTTCTCAAAAAATTTCATACGATCAAGCCTTATATGTTTCATACATAACATCTTTCTGAATAACAGAGACTCATTGTCTTCTAGAATATGTACCGATAATCATCACAGCTCTCCTGATGAACTGCTATGAATAACTCATTTATAAGCGGGAAAATGTTTTTTTAATCCTCCGGAGCCCTGGAGGGGGTCTGTAATTTCTATTATTTTGTTTTCAAATATTTATTCAGAGTATCCAGGTTTAATCTATGTCAGAAACTTGAGAAGAATCTATAAATATTTTATATGCATTGCAAAAATAATAATTTTTCATATTCATGTACACGCCTTCAAGAGTCCGAAAGTCAAAAAATTCTTTTTCCATTTATAAAAATATGTTATTTATATCAGTTTGTAAAGAATAATTCATAATTGCATAAGTTTATCTTAGAAGATCCTACAAAATCACAATGTGTATGATTCATATACTATCGGATGTGCCAACAATGCTCTACGAAGTCACATATGTAGTATTCTAGTTCATCGAATCCAGAAAGAGGATCCTTTAATGCAAATTGAATATATCTAACTCAAGATCGTTTGTTGAGGTCGGGGGGAGAGAAGGACTTAATATAAATCTCTTTACCAGTTTCTCCACAAATAAGAACAACAAGATTATCATGAATAGCTTCCATAATAGCTTGTTCTTCAGTAATAATTGGTAATTGTGAACGTATTACTTGAATTTCTTCGCTACGTTCAACTTGAACATTAGCATGTGGTCGAGCTGGAATATCGACTTTTGTTTCTTCAACACTACTTGTACTACTTTGACGTTGTTGTCGTTTAATCGGAGGTGGAGGTATAGGTGCTGTTGTTGTTGTTGGTTGAGAAGGATGTAAGGCTTTACGAATCTCTTCATCATTAATAGTTTCATCATCATCATCATCATTTGAACTTGTTTCTGAATCACTGAATAAAGTCAAAAAAAAAAATTACCTTATTATAAATGAAGATTTGTGACTAACTAACTTTTGAATTATTTCTGTAGATACTTGAGCTGGACGTTTTCTAGAACGTTGATTAAAATTAATTGAAGTAGAAGAATTTATTGTTGAAACTTGAGTATCAATCGGTTGACTGAATAAAAACAATAAAATAAAATAAAAAGATCTAATCTTTTAGATTTAAAGAAAAAAAATTACCGTTTAGTTTTGCTACCAATATTTTTTACTGAATGAAGAAGAGCTAATTCATCATTCGAAATTTGTATTTGTCCTAATTTATCAAGTAATTCAACTCGCTATGAGAAAAAAAAATAAATAAATGTTAAAATTAACATCAATTTATGAATTCTCTTTTTTTACTTTAGCTTTTTTCTTTTTAACATCAAGCACTTTTTCTAGACGTTTACGTTCTTTTTTTGATAATTTACGTTTGATAGGTGTTGCTGTTTGACTAACAGAATGAGTTACTCGTTTTTTTGATGGTAAAATTGAATTATTGTCAGCTGTTGTTGTTTCTCCTTCAACAATAACCTGATTGAAATAAAAATTGTATGAAAAAAGAAAAAGTAAAAAAAAAAAAAAAGAAACAAAATACATTTGTTGATGGATTTTGTTCAATAACAATTTTTTTTTGTTGACGACCTTTTTTATTAAAACGACGTGCTAAACGAGATGGTTTCATCTATAAATTAAATATGTCTATGCCATATGCTGAAATATCTTGAATTTTTCATTTTGTATCTTTTTTTTTTTTTTGTTTTATCTTTTCCTTGAAAAAAAGAAAAATAAATCAAACACAAAGGCACAAACTTAAAAATACTCATGAAAGAACAAAAAACATAGATTTATCAATGGTCAGAAACGAAACAAACAATCATAGTTGTACATGAAACAAGAAAAAAACAAAGCAATGAAAATAAAATAGAGGAATGAAATTATACAAAGTTTTTGTTTATTATCATCTGACATATTGATATTGATCAAACAATAGGAAACAATATTATATTATATAAAAACATTGTTTTTGTTATCTATGGTTTTTTCACTGTATTTTCTGTAGCTTGAGCGATTGTTAATACTTTTTCACCGGCTCCTTTTGTTAATGTTGTTGTTGGAGTTGCTTTTGGTGAAGAACTCATTTGTATTGTTGATGATCCTTTGCCTTTAGTTTTTTGTCGTATTTGAATTTCGTCTACATGTTGACGCATTTCATCTTCTAATGAATCTATTGTTGGTTGATTACGCCAAAATGTAAATGATGAATATTCTTCACTTGCAGAAAATGCATCCATTGGAGGAAATACTTGATCAACTACTTCATGTAAATTTTTATATCTTTAAAAAAAAAAAAACAGAAAACATTCAAAAAAAAAGAAGAAGAAGTAAAAGAAATTTTAACACATACGAAGTACATAATACTTGAGATAATTTTTGTCGAACAACTTCACCACGTGGATTAATTGTAAATATACGAGTTTCTGGTATTCCAACAGCTGTATATGCCCATTGATCCTTTACGAAAAAAGATTCATAAAACAATATAAAACTTTGAAATATGTTATTCTTACATTTAATCGATTACCAAAACCTGCATAAAATGGATTTTTACCTGGAAATAAACTTGCTATGTTTTTTAAACATTCAATTTTAAAATCTTCGGGTGTTCTTGCAATTACTTCCCTATAAAAAAAAACACAAACGATTATTCAGTATAAAAAGTTCTGTGTTTTATTAAATAAACAAACCTATATAGCGCAGTAACTAATGTATCAGGTGATATAAGTAACGGACCAATAGGTAATGCAAAACCACATTGTTTTATATTGCGTATAAAATTTCTTGTTACACGACTTTGTCCAATAGCACGGGCAGATAAATAAATAAATTGATAACCATTGTCTTGAATAGCTTGAAAAAATTCTGCGATACCATCATGTGACCAATCTTTACCAAATAATGGAAATATATGACCAAAAACATCAGATCTTAAATAAATATATAAATGTTTTGTTATAAAATTATATTAATTTTTCTTTTTTTATAATAGAAATTTACTTTGTTATAGTACCATCAATATCTGATATAACAAATTTAGTATTATGATCATAAAAGAATATATTTGCTTCAACGACAGTTGTACCTTGTAAAGCTGTTGTAACACTAAATTCCATATGATTCATACCAGTTTTAAGATTAAGTCGTTTTAATTGATCAGATGTTAAAATCATAGTTTTCTTTTTTGTTGAAGTTATTTGTTGATTTTCCATTTTATCTGTTAAATTTCTTACTTCATGATCTTCTTGTCCACTATCATTACTATGCATAGGAAAAAAAACTGATATAAACTAATAATATAAAATAAAATAACATACGAATTCTTTCGATTAGAATTATCATTTTGTAATATAGTTGGAACAATTTCAGATTTAACAACAACAGCCAATGCTTGTGATGATGCTGATGGAATATTTTCATTTTTTGTGTTAGACGACTATTCAACATTGATATAGGGGAAAAAAAAAACAATTTTTTTTTTCCAAAATATAAAATTTTATATTTACACTTTTGCCAGAAAATGGCCATAAACTAATACCACCTGTTGTACGTGATGTAGTTGATGTCATATGTTTTTTTTGTAATTGTTCAATTGTTTCAGGTGGTAATTGTTTATGATAGACACTAGCCGAAGCAATAAGTGCTGAAGCTACACTCCAATTATGATATCTAAAAAATAGAAATCAATTATTTGAACAAAAAAATTTTGTTTTTTTATTTTCTATGTTCATTATTACATACTTTCCACCAATACGTACAACTAAATTTGGATCATTAATAATTGATGGATTATTAGCAAATTTTTCATATGAAATAAGATGTGCATTAAATAAATCATCTGTTATTAATGATGGTTTATCAATATTTCCACATAATGAAAGTTGTACATCACCGAGAAGATAACTAAAATAAAATGAAATTTATTCAAAACAAAAAAAAACAACTACATATTTCATCTTTTTGATATTTAAAATTACAAAAAAAAAAAAAAAATTTTTTTTTTTTACATACAAAGTTTCATAATCTCGAACTGGAGAATTTGGTATTGAATTTCCTGTTCCAGATTCTTCATCATCATCATTTGGAGTTCTTGATTGATTAAGATGATAATCCCTTATTTAAATTAAATACATATATATATATATATATATGAAAATAAAATAAACTTACATTTGAGGTAAATACCGTGAACGATCATCACATTTATTATTTGTTATATCATCAAGATATATTCCTTCTTTAGGTGTATTTGGTTTTGATGATGAAGATGATGGCCAAAAATATCTAAATACACTTCGTCTTTGTTCAGGAAGTTCACCCCATTTCCATCGCCATGCAGAATTTCTTCGACTATTTCTTACTGATTGTTGTGATGATTTATCTAATTCATATTCTGTATCAGATTGTGGACTTGCTGGTCGAAGAGATATAGGACTTTAAAAAAACAAACAAACGTTATATTACTTTTTTAAAATTAAATACAAAAAAAAAAACAAACTATTATTTACTTTTCAAATGCTGATGTTGGTGAAAAATCTTCATTTAAATAAAATGGTGCTGAATCAGTTGATTGAGTCAGTCGAATAGGAACAGTAGCATCATCATTTGCTATTGGTGCTGATTGAGAAAAAATTGTATTCATTATTGAATTTGATTCTTCAGTTGTTGGTAATGAATCATTTAATATTGGTTTTGGTTCAATTGCTATTGGATTTGATAATGTTCTTGTATGTCTTTCATCATTTTCTTCTTGATCATCATCTTCTAAACTACTGCTATAATTTTCTTCATCATCATTATCTATACCATTTGACATTTTCGGTGGAATAATTAATAATTTTTTTCGACTATCAATACTATTCATTCGACTATGTGCATCAACAAATGGTGTAGATGATTCGGATTGTTTTTCATCATCAATTTGAAATAAAAGCATATCAGTTTCACTTGCACTATGTTTACGTGAAAGTTTTAATGATGTATTTATTTTTTCATCATCTCTATGATCAGTTAATTTCTCATTCATAGATATAGAAGTTGAAGCACGTTGACGTAAATGTGAAGAATCTTGTTTTGATGAAAATATTTTTTCAACTTCTTCATCGTCATCTTCATTTAAATCTTTATTTATTTGTTCATTACGATTTGATATACGTCGTTTTGAACGACGACGATTTGATATAGATACATTAGAATTTAATACATCAACATTAACAGATGATATTGATGGATGTTCATAAGCATATTTTGGTGTTGATTCATTATTTTCATGTGCTTTTTCTTCATCAAGTTGTTTATTAATGATTTGTGGTGAACAATCAATATTTGATAATTGAGGATGAGAATCTGTTAATATAGCACTATCAGGATCAAGAAATATATTACTATCTGATGGTTCTAAATGACGACTTGGTGAAAGATTTTGTGTAGTCTAAAACAAAAAAAATGATCTAATTTTAATTTAAAAAATAAAAAATTGAAAAAATTTTATTTACAGTTTCTTCTTCAACAAATAGAGCTTCACCAGCTGGACCTAATTCCATATATAAATCTTCAATTGGATTACCATTGATAGTTATATATACCTTTAGAACAAAATTTAAATAATTTAATTAAATATTTATGTTTTTTACCTTATTTTGTTGATTCCGTAGAACACCTAATTTACCAAAACGAACATGAAATGGAGTACATCGAAGTGTTCCATCTTCTTGTTTAACAACAATAATATCAATTGCACCAGTAAGTGTGGACGGATTAATATTGTTGTAAACCGATTTAATCGAACCAAAAATACGATAAAATGAAGTCATGTTGACTCTATTCTATTTTTAATAAAAATATACCATTTATATATGGTACTAAAACGAAAAATTAAATAAGTATAATAATAATAGTAACTTGTTTTTTGTAAACACTAACAAAAAAAAAAAAGGTAGCAATAAAAAAAAACGATTATAATATAGATGACAATAACGTTTATACAATACAATTATTCATTAGGACACAAAACATATTTCTTACTACATACATTTGTTTTTCATCTTTCTCCTTCGTGGGAGTCAGCAAAGAAAATACTACAAAAAAAGAAGTATTAGTAGTCCCTTCATTTACGCTATCTACGAGTGCAAATATATATATAAAAAAAAAAGAATGGGTATGCTAGAGGTTTGCATGTAAATGTATTACATATAAACGTCTATGATCGATTACATGATTAGTAATGGCGTCATTGCTTTTGTAGTTAAGAAGAAAGGAAAAAGAACGGAAAAAGAAAAATAGTAAAAAATGTTCTGTGCGTCAGCCGGCACACCCCTCGCTCTTTATTATTGTTTTCGTTTTCTGATAGTATGAATAAAACTCGTGACTTATGGCGGTCAAATGTACCTCGTGATTTTATATGCTATCAAGAGGTATAGATATGATGGCGTGATGCGTAAAAGAAAAAGTGCACATTAAATATCGAAGGAAAAAAGTGCACACATGTTTTCTATCAAGGTACCTGAATGTCCTTGATAATTTTGCAATTAAAAAAAAACAACTACCTATACAAATAATAGTTGAAGATTACGGATGTTCATTTACAATAGATTACTGTTTATACGAAAACAAAAAAAAAATATATAT